ACTAACCGCTAGAGGTGCTGGTGCGCTCGCTTACCATCGCTCCGTCGGCCGCAACAGATAACTCGATTGACGAACGACTCTATCAGTCGCACTCGCGATCTATGATGAGTTCTCGGCGCGTTCAAATCAAAATATAAATATAAACATAAACACCGGTGCAAGGTGAGACGGAATAATAAGGTCATCTCTTATTATTCATGAACCACTTTATTAGACTAACTGAATCTTATACACGGGATGAGTTGCCGAGAGTCTTGGACGCACGCTGTATATACAAAATTAATTTAACGGGGAGAGAGAGAGAGAGAATTAATTTCGCGGACGCCGCTAACTAATTGCACGTGCAACAATGTTAACGAAATTCACCGCGCACGCCGCGCGGGATTGCACGCAAAATCTACGCAAAAGTGCAGTGCACTTACCGCAAAGATGATTAGGATACGATGGCCAACCGTATCCGCTTACAAAAACGATTGAAATATAACAAATGTTACATATCAGTATTTCTACAAATAATAGGAGGACTAATACATATAATTGATTAACTTAATAATTAAGGGGATGCCATAACGGAACCAAACCTATAAATTCATAAAAACTATATATACCCGAAGAATATTGACTTTTCATAGAATGTAACAGTTTTTTATTATTCTTTAGATTGTTCCTCAAGGTCGATGACCTCAGTAATTTATTATTAAAAAATGAGTATTGAATGAATGTTGACAATTACAACATCATGCAGCGTAGAGATATTTCGCCAACACGCTATCGTAGTTTTCGTTATGCGTGTTTATTATTCAGTTTTTAACAATAATAAGGACGATCCGCGTTTTGGCATGATTTAAAGAAGTGTGGATGACTGCGATATTTATTGTCAACTATAAATTATTCGCGTATAACGGAAACTACTGAGGTATGAATTTTATTATGACATCCCCTTGTTTAGATAACGCAAAAAATAATTATTTACATCGTGAATTATGATTTTAATATATTTTCAATTTAAATTTATTGTTGAATATTGATTGATTAATTTAGTTATTACAAAGCAGGTTAGACTTTTTTTTCAATATAAAATTATATATAGTTTGTCAAGCAGGTTATTCATGCTATTCAGTAAAACCAAGTCATACTCACTGTAAGCTACAGCTATTGAAGAATTGTATTTCTCCTTTTTTTATTTAAGCTGGCATCAATATTTTAATAATGTACATAATTAACAACGTTTTATCAATGTAAAATAGCGTGGTTGATTGCCGCCATCAGCCTTACTATATATAGTCTATATTATCGATGAATGCGTCTATATTCATTGATATTATATACAATATAGGTTGGTTCATATAGATCACTATACGCCTGCACAAATGTTATAACTGATGATTATTAGAAAAAATTAATTTACGTATCCTATTAATAGATCCTATTATTAATAGATTTTCTTGTTACGATAAAAAAAATAATTCACCGTAAGAATTTCGATGAAATAATGGAAAATTATTGTTAAAAAAAACAATAAGTTTGAGTATAATTTTGGAATAGAAATGTCAGCCGTAATATTTTTTTATTAGAAAAATATTTTCAATATTTTCTGTTATTCATTTTTTATTAAAACAAAAAAGAAGGAGAAGGTGAGATTTTTATTCATGAGTTATGAGATACATATAATGAAGTTTTAAATTCTAGTTATTACACCTTAGTATCAAATCCTTGCACATACTATTTTTAACATATACTATACTTTACATGTCAAAATTAAATTTACATTTGCTCATTGGTTGCAGCATCATTTAAATCACATTTTGAAATCTTAAATCGTTTGATTTTAAAAATAGTAAATTACATAGATAATGAACTATCAAATTTATAAATTATTTGACAACTGTTTAGAAAAAAACATTATATTATACGTTGAGCTTAAATCTGGTGTTTTCTTAAATTAAAAAAAAAATTTATAAATAATCTTTTTCCAATAATAATAATATCAATCTTTTCAACTACAATTAACATCACATATTTTTATTTGGAACTGATTAATAGCATAACAAAGTTAATACTGCTCAACTTTAAGAAGCAAAATATATTCTAATATATATTAGAACGTTTCATCTTAAAAAAAAAAGAACTTTTAAAACGTTGAAAGAAAGAAATAAATAGTAAAAAAAAATAAATAAATAGTAAAAAAAATAAATAAATCTGAACTTCATTAATCATCCTTTTTTTTGCGGTCAACGGTGATCTCGAAGTCCATTTTAGCAGATTTCCTTGTTGAATTGTGCAAGTTATCTGTATTATCCTCTTGCAAAAGGGCCAATGGATGGCGAGGAGATTTTACACCTTTACGCACCTGTTCTGATGTCATTGGTTTTTCACCAAGAAGGACAGAGATATCTACCAGGCTCATGCAATGGATTGTAGAGGTTGGTACTAAATAAAATCGAATATATTAGTAAAATATGCTGTAGATAATAAGATAAATAATAAAAGATTATATACTTACCAATGTCTTTTATGAAACCACTAACAGATATTTTGGTCCCTTTTTTAATTGTTGACTTCTCAAATTGCGTAATTTGTATGTTTATTTTAAACACACCATCAGTGATGGCTCCGATTCCCCAACTTGATGTTTTTTGACGTTCGTTACCAAAGCAAATTCGGTTTTCAAATATCTTTCGATCACTAAAAATAGAAATAGCAGACATAAAATTAGTTTCATGATTATAAAAAGAAAATTAATTAAAAGTATTTGAATATTTAATACATACTTATCGGTCCTGTATAACCAACCGTACCCACAAAATCCAATTTTTTTGGAGGCACCTTTGCTGCTTCACCATTTCGTTGACCATGGTACCCATGGAATTCAATGCTAGTTGCGTTTCCAACAATGAGTTCGAAGGGGACAAATGAATCGTCCTTGTGATAATTAGGATTCACAGCCTTGGAGATAGCTCGTTCAACATATAGGATCTGAAATTGAAAAATATAGTTCCATTCATATTTTTAAGAGTTTAATATTTTCATTTTTTTTTACACTTACACGATTCAAATCAATTTCAGATTGGTGTTTATCAATAACCTCTTGATCCCAAAAAAGTAGAGTAATTTTTCTAGTGCTGTTGCTTAAGTTTATCTTGAATAATTTGAACTTCTTATGTCCACTACCCACATCAGTTGGAGCAACTATAGACTCGACATAGCCAACCACTTCACTGAAACCAATTTATTAAGAGAGTTACGCAGAGTAATACACTATAAAGTATATTTTTCATTATACATCATATAGTATGTACTATAATCATATATAGTATGTTTTTCAGGTAATAAAAATATTATTTTTTCAATACCATTAATAATTATTATTATATTTAGGATAAAACAAACTACTGAAGGTTATAAAAAAAATCAGAGCATACAATTGCTCTGTAAATATTCACTGAGCGTGCTATTTAAAACTTTTAACGCTAATAAAGAAAAATCAAAAGTTGAAAATGTCGCGAAATAAAATAAAAAAAGAACTTACACGCTCTTGTCATTGTTGGATATTTCTAAAAACTCTTCGTCTGTTGTGTATGAAATTGAAGCGTCGTTGTCCTGCGTGTTGAATTGAATGCTGTCGTTATTTCAAAAAGCTGTGATATAAAAAACAAATGACATATTACAAGATAAAAAAAGTTGTGCGTGTTTTTCTTTCTTTCGTCATTGATCACTGTGTAAATTTCTAATGATTTTCAAATTACGTTGATACGAATATTAAAAGCAATTATGTATGCACTGAAATGCACACAACACCTAACCTTTAGTTCGGCAAAGCATTCCATGGAATATTTTTTTCTTTATTATAAAAATTATGCAAAAATATTATAGATTAATTACTGTTCTAAATTTCTAAATACAATATTTAAATAAATAAGCTCCGTTCAATTAATAATCACTCAGATCACGATAAATTAATAATGGATCAATCAACTTACCTATCCCTCGTGTCATTAATCGTACAACCTTGTTGAACTCAAATCACTTTTCGTCTTTCTCTCTCTCTCTCTCTCTCTCTCTCTCTCTCTCATTCACTCACTAACAGATGACGACAGTTTCAACCAATCAGATCGCAAATAAAAAAGCTACAACATGGCTTCCATCACTTTTTTATAAGGGGATCACGGGAGTTTGGCGAGCCGTAGAGGCGAAAATAGGCGAGCGAATAGAGATAAAGAGGTAAGAGAGAAAGAGACCAAGGAATTTTGGGTAAGTATCGGCGTGCATCCGAGGAACGACCGAATGAGCAATAACAGGAAAAGAAGCAGTATGATCAGTAGCAATGAAAGCAATAACAGCAGTATTAATCGCAGCAACAACCTCAGCAGTGCTAGCAAGAAGTGGTAGCAACAACCAATCTGCAACAGATATAGCCGTGGAAGACTGCAGAAGCGGCTATAGTGTGAGTCCTCTTTCTCCTCTGTTATCGTGAGCACGCGTGACTTCCGCGGTAGTTATCGCTTTTGAGAGAACCTGGCGCTCAACGGTGAGCATTAAAGCGACCATTAAGCGAATTATGGTTCTTGAAAGCCGTTACAGAGGTTCACCATTACACGAACAAGCATTCCTGCCGACCCGTAACGGTTCAGCCCTCTCCGAGGACACCGGTATGCCCGATTACCACCTCAGGCATGATTTTCATTTTTTGTTGTTTATGTGTATTTATTTTTGGACGAACCGGCAATTAAAGTTTATATATTTTTTAAGTAATTGGTCAGTGTACTTTTTTAATTTTATGTTATTTTTCCTACTCTCTTTCTCATTCCAGTCTCTTCCTCTTGCGAAGATCGCAACCTGCGCACCCAGCAGGTAGCTGAGTATAGTCGAAGCAATTGTTGCTTCCCGAATTATCGTGTAATAACTTTATAAATAGAGTCTCGGACAATTTTATTCAAAATTTATGATAACTCAATCAATTCACCGTTTACATATATATATATATATATATTATGTTGCAGTGATCGCCATTTATGATTACTATGCTGATAAAGAAGATGAATTGAGTTTTCAAGAAAGTTCAGTAATATATGTGTTAAAAAAGAATGATGATGGATGGTGGGAAGGAGTTATGGATGGTATCACTGGCTTATTTCCTGGAAACTACGTCGAACACTGTGTATAAATTGTATCAGCTTTAGGAATAATTGATATATTTATATGTAGATTGCTCGAATGAAAAATATTAAATGTTTTACTTTATTACAATATTAATGAAAAAAAAAACATTATAGTATTTAACAATAATTTATAATATAAAAATAGCATCTCCGACATATCTGCCTACGGAAGAAGATCCTTATATTTATTACCATTTGTAATAACGATATTCTTGCCTAATCCTCCCAGGACATTTAAGACGAATATAATAACATCGTATTAAGATACACTCCCCTCCACGTACTTTTAGGCATCTAACACCAAAATCGGCAGAAATAAAAAATGTCATTACTCGGCACTTAAGAGTCTTATCTTAAAAAATCAACAGGTATTTAAAAGAAGAGGTAAAAACCTTTCAAAAATGTTTATTGCCGACTTCCAAAGATCAAGTTTTAGTTTTTATGATTAATAAAATAAGATAAAGAAATGTAAACAATTTGATCTAAATTTAACAGGTTACAGATTTAGATCCCGTAGGCGGAAAAAAACTGTTCGTAGATTCGACGTATTTCTGTATTTTTTCTAAATAGAATTTTTCAAGGGGTAATCACCTTTCAAATCTTTTACCACGTATCAGTACAAAATTGGGATCTATTTCCGAAATAATGCATACTTAATAGTTTTTAGAAGAATGAGTCACAAGTTTTTAATCAGCGGATTAAGGATGTTAGAGGATGAAACAGCCCCTCAAATTTATGGGTGTCAAGGGATAGATATTTTAAATGCAAAAACTTTATATTTTTCAACCAAGCTAGCTGAACAATCTGTATTAAAAATAATGCTGGAATATATCAGTTAGTTCACAAAGTTTGATCTATTTTCAAGCATAAAAAAAAAATTAATTTATAAAAAATGTTGTAAAAAAAAACGAGTTTGATCAAAAATGGTAATAAAGTGTCAAATTTTCGTAAAGATTGGATTATAGATAGAATTCTACATTGTCAGAATTATCTCGCCGCTCTTTCGTTTGTTTCCTAATCGCAAAAATTGAAAAAAAAATGGTCTTTCTCTAATTGCAATTCAAAAACTAAAGGAAATTCTAACACAGGTTTCGATTTTTATATTGAAAAGTACATGTAAAAACAGATATTGTGCAAGAAATTTCATTTTACATTTACAATTACATTTGATCGGATATATAAGTATGTATTCGCGCGAAGTTCGCTACAAAAACATATTTTTTTATGCAAGGATTATGGAATTTAAAAAATACGGCATCGCATGAAAATCAATTTTTGATTCACCGCCAAAATACGCCGACAATACGAGGTGTGATAAAAAAGTAAGGTGAATTTTGAAATTTAGCGGGCTACGTCCGTTCGATCTTCGACTTTTTTATTTGGTTATGTCGGTACACTCGTCTAGAACATACGTTCCAAATTTCAGCTTTGTAGTATGTTTGGTTTGTTTATGAGAGGCATCAAGGTTAGAAGTGTTTTGCGTGCTCCACGATTTGCTGCTGTCTAAAAACATGGATCAAAGAGTTTGCATTAAATTTTGTGTGAAAAATGGAATCAAATGTTCCAAAACACTTGAAATGCTGAAAGTGGCATACGATGAGTCTACTTTAAGCCAAAAAAATATTTACAAGTGGTATAAACTCTTCCGAGAAGGCCGAGAAGACACCGACGACGAACCTCGTTCTGGACGCCCCAGCACATCAACAACTGATGAGAATGTTGAAGAAGTGAAGAAAATAGTGTTGGGAAATCGTCGAATTACCATTAGAGAAATTACTGATGATATTGGCATCTCATTTGGTTCGTGCCAATCAATTTTGACGAGTGTTTTAGACATGAGACGTGTGTCAGCGAAGTTTGTTCCGAAATTGCTCAATTTCGACCAAAAGAAACGTCGCATGAGCATCGCCCAAGAGCGACTGAATGACGTCAACGATGATCCAGATTTACTCAACAGGGTTATAACAGGTGACGAAACATGGGTATACGGTTATGACGTCGAGACTAAGACTCAATCGTCCCAGTGGAGGCATTCTGGATCACCAAGACCAAAAAAAGCACGCCAAGTTCGATCAAATGTAAAGGTTTTGCTTACAGTTTTCTTTGACTGCAGGGGCGTGGTGCATCATGAGTTCTTGCCACAGGGTAGAACAGTAAATAAAGAATATTACCTACAAGTTATGCGCAATTTGCGCGAAGCAATCCGCCAGAAACGTCCGAATTTGTGGAAAAATAAAAATTGGCTTTTGCACCATGATAACGCCCCTGCTCACAGATCGTTGCTTGTGCGCGAATTTTTGGCTAAAACCAACACAGTAACGATGCCACAGGCACCGTATTCCCCAGATCTGGCCCCCTATGACTTCTTCTTGTTCCCAAAACTGAAGAGGCCCATGAAAGGACGGCGTTTTGCCACGATTGAGGAGATAAAGACGGCATCGAAGGATGAACTAAATAAGATCACAAAAAATGATTTTTTGAAATACTTTGAGGATTGGAAAAAGCGTTGGCACAAGTGCATTATATCCGAGGGGGATTACTTTGAAGGAGATAAAATAAAAATTGCTGAATAAATAAATATTTTTTAAGAAAAATAAAAATTTACCTTACTTTTTGATCATACCTCGTATGTATTATAATGTATGGAAGCCAACCCGAACCTAATCTATGCAAAAAGTTTGGCATTTTTTCTACCATTTTAGATCAGTGTGATTCGCTGCGTCGTTTCTACTTTACGTATTCTTACAATTTTTTTTATTTGTTAAGTTAAAATCGGAAAACATCAAAGAAAAAGAAAAACCTTTTGTTCGAAGGTAAAAAATAAGTACAGTGTGTTGTACAGTCAACAACTCATATACAATTTTGCCTGTTTTTTTAAATTTGAAAGAAAAAATGGGGAAAATTGGGTCGCAAGTACTATATTATATAGAAGAGAAAATGTGTATACCGAAGTATTAAAATCTGGAAAATTTACTTTAGATAATAACAGAATTATACATTTATTGTAATAATCAGAAAAGATGAAATACGTAAAAGTATTTTTTATATTTATTTTTAGATCACTAAAATTTGGCTTAAAGTGGCCATCGTCCTAAAATTGTAAAAGAATAGACACCTCCAAATAAAATTCTATATGTAAAAAAAATTTCAACTGGAACGACAGCAAAGATTTAACCACTCGATAAATATGGTTGCCAGATTTGGGAAAATTATGTTCGGCATTTTTCGGATACTGTTATGAGAATGAATTACAATATGAAGTTACACGACAAAAATAATATTATAAAACTGCAGTCATCAACCCATAATCAATTTTTATCGCGATACATAAATTTATTCAAGTATTCATGGTATACCAGCGGGTATATTGAAAAAAATCTAGAAAATTCGAAAATTTCGTTGAATTCGAAAGTATTTTGTTGCGCAATAATAGGGAGGTACACCTACGCTGTGGTGCAATTACTGTGATCAGCCGTAATTGTTGAAGCGAGATTTAAAGATGCTCCTCGAATCAGCTGCGCTGCCTCACACTCAAATCTGCTGCTGCTGTAAATGCTGCTGCTGCTGATTATCTTTCTCGCTGCACTCTCACGTATTAAACGATATCCAGGAACTTTATAAAAAATACGGCAAAACTTTGTGCAAAATATTTGGCGGTAGTTTCACGAAAGCAGCTGAGGTTTAACTGAATATTCAAACCCTCGCGCGCCCCTCTTTCTCTTAGTCGTTCGAACTAACATCGTGAGTGTACGAATCGCGAACGGATCGATTAATCGAATCGACTACCGTTGCAACAGGTATAAGATTAACAAATTGTGCTGAAAATTTTCGGTATGCCAAAATAAACAAAAATTGTTAAAGTATGATATTATTTTGAAAAAAGATTCTAATCTTCTACTGATACGTGATAAAATATATCAGGGATCCCTTGAAAAAAATTTTTTAAGGCAAATATACGTCAACTGATAATGAGATATATATGTTTAGGTAACATATTTTTTCAGATTTTTTTTTTCCAATATGAACTTTTCAAACTCATTTTTTTAATAAAATTTTTTATAAATCAATTTTTGGTTTATGTTTGAAAATAGATCAAATTTTGTGAACTATTTGACATATGCCAGCATTGTTTTTAATATGTATTTTCCAGCCAGTTTTGTTGAGAAATATAAAGATTTTCCATTAAAAATAATTATCTCTTAATACCCGTAACTTTAAGGGGCTATTTCATTTCCTAAAATCGTTAATCCACAGATAAAAATACAGGTGTGTCTCACTTTTCAAAGAATTATTAAAGTATGTTATTGTTTCGGACAAAAAATTTGCATTGATACGTGGTAAACGATTAGAAGAGTGTTTGTCCCCTCGAAAAATTCTAATTAGAAAAAATACGGAAATAATGTACCACTCAATGACATTTGCCACCCTGTTGACTAAAAACTCAACACTATAAAATTTTATATCTCGACTTAGGGTAGTTGTAAAAAATCCTGTGAGTATTCATTTTGTAGGGTTTTCTAGTATCTATCAAGTGACGTAAACTACATGTCTGTTTTTTAATTTTTTTTTCCAAAACTATGACGTTAGAAGTAAAAAATGAAATTGATTTTTTTCGCCAACTTTGATGCGACATTATTTAAAGGGAAGTAATGGGTGGTAAAATCTGTCTTCACTATTTGAAAGCTTGTCTAAAATGCTACAAACCCCATGTCTGAGAAATTTTTTTTCATACGTTTTTTTGAGCTATATATTGTAACGGGGGGGTAAACCTGCAAAATGAGAAATTTATTTAAGAGCAAACTCCCACGATGCAGAGCAAACCGCCGCTCCGTTAACACGTATGTTAATACGTGTATTCACCTTAACGTCGGCTGACTTAACTTAGTTGTCTTCGATCAAGCAGAGTTGAACTCACCTTAAGTCACGTGCCTTGTGACACACGATGAGTTTCAAGTGTAAGCGACTTTACTCCAAATCCACTTAATCCCCTAGCTATAATAGGATTAAAACCTAAGCTTTTTCTAATTGTTTAAACTACTAGGAAAAATCATATGACGAAATCGGCGAATAATTTTAATAGATTTTATTAATAAAAATTACTACAGTCTTTGTCGGGCCGAAAGACTGACGCACGCGAATAGGATTTACA